TGCACACACGAGAGAGCACCACCACCCGTGTCCTGTGAGCCCAACACACTTAGACAGGCCTACGGCCTGACTACGGCGTGACCGTGACCCGGAAGTCTGTAAACGGCAGGTGAGCCTACTTCCCGCCCTGCCCTGAAGGCTTTTTTCTGAAAATGCCCAAGGGAGCCCTAAGAAGGGACAAGACGCTAGGTCGCGCCTTCTGGCACTTTAGGCTCCAAATGTGGGGCTGCGAGCTGAGTGAAGGAAACCGGAGAGCAGACAGCCAGGGTGAGGAGGACGCTGCCGCGAGCACCACACCAGCGCGAAGAGACCACCTTCCACCCAGACACAGGGGCAGCCTCACTCCTGGAAGTCCACAGGCTGCAAACTCCTTGCCTGTCTCCTATGCTGCCACCTGACAGCTCCTACCCCTCTCGAATGTTTGACCAGTGCATCACTCTGCTCCATCGTGTCAGCGAAACTTTCTCCCCACCTGACGGCTCAGCTTATTTCGCAGCCCTTCAGCCTCTGACTGGCTCTATCCAACCTCAAAGTAAACATTTAAGAGAGCTTCGCCTCTACAGCCATCAATCATAGATGCAGCGGACAATTAAACTGAGAGCAAGCAAACCTAAGACCAGCGGCTTCAGTGAGCCCTGCTTTACTTACACAATGTCCTGGAACACAAGAGAGGAAGAATGACCATCACACGGAGTGCATGGGAAGAACTAAGAGGAAATTCCCATCATAGGCCCTATACTTGGGAATAGTTTACAGCGCATATCCATCCTCCTCACCCTCCTCCGCCTTTACATAGTTACCTATAAGTTAACCTTTGCAACAACTTATGAAATTGGAATTATTATCCGAAACTTACAGATGAGAAAACGGAGACTTAGAGAAATTATACTGACCAAAGTTGTCCAGCTGTAAGTGGTGACACAGGCATATGAACCATGGTCTGTTTCCGAAAGCCCACCTGCTTTTCCCCTGGCCCACGGGAGCCTTCAACAGTGAATATATTATTAAAGCTTGTTGAGCTGTGCAAGCAACTTTGGGAGCTGGTGAGAACTGCTCCAGACTCACCCTCCCCTTTGGGGTGCAGCCTGCCACCTGAAGGCAAGACTGCAGGCAGAAGGACATCAGGAACCAGCCCCGCTGTGTTCAAGGCCCCAAGGAAATGCAAGTCGCAAGTCCTAGAGGATGTCAGGGAAGGACCACGTCCCCGCCCTCTGCCAGCGCCCGGCCAGGCTTGGTGTGGGGAGACAGTTCCTCCCACACCCTGCAGAGGGAAAGACTCTATGACCACCAAACACAAAGAGAGCAGGTCTTCATCTTGGTAGAAATAAGAGAGGAGAGAGAGGCATCTTCGTCTATAATCCACACCCCCCGACCCCACCAAAAAAACCTAAAGCATATATTTTGCACTGGAGGTCCACTGGGGTATGACTTACAAAGATAACTTCTAGTTGCCTGTTTTTGAATAAAGCAAAGTCAGGCGCAGAGGTTCTGATGGCATGTAAATTAAAGATATGAGGTATCTCATTGAAATTCTAAAGATGTGCTGATCCTACCCCAGGATCAAAAGAGTTCTCTTGTCGTGCTGGTGCTGACTTATTAATAAAGACCATGCTTTTATTTGATTATTTATCTAATCAGCATTCACTTTCAGTTTAAGCTCATTAAGTCGCTGGTAATAGAGTGGTGCTGAGAGTGTACTTGGTGGCAGAATTACATCCAAGTGAGACAGAGAGTGTGTTCAGGGGCGGGCGGTCAGAAACAAAGGCAGAGCCTGCAAGCCCGTGTCACCCGAGGGGAGCCTGTGAACTGTCTGACAACCAAACAGAAAGGGTACCTATGTAGTTTAGTTTTGTAGCGTAAAGGCTGAACGTTATAATTAAATACACCTAGTAAAAGGGAAACGAAAATGACAAGCACTCTAATTATTTCGCCAACCGAGAGAATAATACCCATTCTTTACATGCTTTATGTTGGGGAAGCTTTCTTAACGGGCTTTTATGTGAACTTCTGATTATGCCCAGGGTGCTGGCTGCTGGGTGTGCCCAGACTGGCTCTGAGCGACTTGCATTTCATCTGTGTGCCCCCACTGACTGGTCTTCTAAAGCGCTTGTAATATAAACCAGCCGAATAATATCTCTTACGGAGCAGGCAGCCAAACCATCTTGCTCTCACCTGATGGGTGGTTGCCATGGTCACAACTGCTAAAGACAAACCCTCTTCTTTAAGTCCATCCTGCCCCACACATAGGAAATTCCACTTTTTGTTGGACTATGAAGCCTCCAGCTGCCCCAGCACCACACTGGAAGAGGGCCTGTGAACAACAGAGTGTGCAGTTAACTGAGGCCGGCGTGTCCCCTCCTTGGAAACGCTGCTGCTCAGACTTGGCACGGTAACGGGCTAAATTATTTAGCCAGGCGGAAAAGAGGGAAAGCAACTAAGAGCTTCCTGAGTTTATAGCCTTGATCCCTGGGTTCGTACTGAGACAGGAAACAGGCCAGGCTCCACAGGCAAAGAGAACAAAAAGGTTCCCTCTGAAGTCCTCTTATGTCTGCGTGAGTCCCAACCAGGGTGAAAATAAGCTGTTCCCATCAATCTTCTCGGATTCACTGAGTACCATGTGTCAGGCACTGTGAGATATAAGACAGGTGAAAAGTGGCCTTTGCCCTCAGTGAGCCTGTAACACATCCGCTAGGCCGGAGGAAGCTGAGGAAAAGTTAACTCTCTGGTTCATTCATTCCAGACCCGCACATGTCAGGCACTGTGCTAGGTCCTGGGGTGCAGCACTGAAGGAAGATAGGAAACCACGTGGTGATGGACGGAAGGACCATCCGACCAGCATGATGATGGGAAAAGGAATTAAATAACACAAAAGAGGAAATGCCACGAGGTGCCATGTGATTAATCTCTAAGTGACACATTAAGTAAAGGCCATGTGATGAGAGCAGTCTAGGTTCTGGTCTTGGCGTTGCTATCAACAACAGAGCCAAGCCCTCACCCACACCCCACTGCACTGATCCTTCCAGGACCCTCCACGGGTAGCCTGAAGCCAGCACTCTCCCAACTTTGACTGGTCGTGTAGACCAGGTCACCAGATTGGGTCTGCATGGAATGAGGTCACCGAAGAGAGGACTGTCTCTCCTTCCAGGGGATTCACCTCCATCCCAGGAGCCACGCTTCAGATCAGGAAATATAGCCCTGACATTTAAGACCTTTCACTGTGGTACAAAAAAGGTCACCTACAAACTTGTGCTTCTTATTACAGCGGACTGGAAATTCTTATGCCACTACTTTCCCATGGAGCGCTGTACTTAAGGTCACAGTTATGTAAATGATATTTCTGCTACTTGCTACAGTCTCTGGACTTCTGAGTGTAATATGTATCTCTTTTAAGGTACTTGTCATGATGTCGCTGTTTATTTGTGTATATGGCCCTTTGCACCACATTAATTTCTTTTCTTTTTAAAGTTTTTTGGGATGTGGACCATTTTTTAAGTCTTTATTGAATTTGTTACAATATTGATTCTGTTTTATGCCTTGATTTTTTGGCCGCGAGGCATGTGGGATCCTAGCTCCCCGACCAAGGATCGAACCCTCACCCCCTGCACTGGAAGGCGGGGTCCCAATCACTGGACCGCCAGGGAAGGCCCCACCCCATTAATTTCTTAATAACGGCAAGAAACATACCTCGCTCATCTTTCTCAGCTCCTCATCATGAGCATGCTGCCTTGCGAGTAACAGGTAATCAGGGAATATCTACTGAATGAACTGTGTCACTCAAAAATGGAAGACGCATCACGCATTTGTGTTTGGGGCTTCCCTCTGACCCCCAAACCTGAAATTTACCAAAGATTGGCCCTGCTCTAACGGGGAAAAATTCCTGCCACTGAAGAAAAGAGGGAGGCCGTATCCAGCCACTGCCACGAGAGGAGCTGCCGCCATGTCCATGCATCTGCAATGGATGGTCGTGCGGAACTGCTCCAGCTTCTTGATCAAGAGGAATAAGCAGACGTACAGCACCGAACCCAATAACCTGAAGGCCCGCAACTCCTTTCGCTACAACGGGCTCATTCACCGCAAGACTGTGGGCGTGGAGCCGGTGGCGGACGGCAAAGGGGTCGTGGTGGTCATGAAGCGGAGATCCGGCCAGCGAAAGCCAGCCACCTCCTTACGTGCGGACCACCATCAACAAGAACGCCCGGGCCACCCTCAGCAGCAGCCGGCACATGGTCCGAAAGAACAAGTACCACCCGGATTTGCGTACGGCTGCCATCTGCAGAGCCAGCGCCATCCTGCGCAGCCAGAAGCCTGTGACGGTGAAGAGGGAGCGGACCTGCCCCACCAAGGGCTCCTGAGCAATCCGTCCCCTTCCCCAGTGCAATAAAGCTGTCAGCTGACTTGCCGCAAAAAAAAAAAAAAGAGGGAGAAGGGCTTCCCTGGCTGTCCAGGGGTCAGGACTCCGCGCTTCCACTGCAGGGGGCCCGGGTTCGACCCCTGGTCGGGGAACTAAGATCCCGCAAGCCGTGTGGAGCGGCCAAAAATAACAAATAAAATAAAATAAACAAGAAGAGAAGGAGAGACAGGCTGGCAATGATGGGGATGGACAGGATGTTTGCCACTCTAGCCAGGTCTGTGGCATCATAACGAACAGGAAGGCAGATGTCAGAACCGGGTCACCCTCACATTCAAACCGGAAATTCCTCCTCTAAAGGGAGGGTCATTGTGTGAGCCAGTGTTGGATGTTGTAGCTTATGAAGCCTGTGGTGGAATCAGTCTCATGGGCGAGCACAAACAGATGAATGCTATGGATAAAACGAGATTAGCCTTGGCTGTGGAGTCCACAGCAGACATCACCACGGCTTACAAACTATCTCAGAAGCAGCACCAGGCAACAGGAGCACACCAAGGTCCACGAGCCTGAGACACAGACCCGGCAGAAAGGGGGCACTGCCCATGGGGACATCTCAGCTCTGGTCACCTCCTTTCTGTGTCACCCTCTGCAGGTGGAATCGGCTGCATAGGTCGAGACGAGGGCCAGGTTCGGAAGTGCCTCGACGTGGTGGAGATCTACAACCCGGATGGGGACTTCTGGAGGGAGGGCCCACCCATGCCCAGCCCCCTGCTCTCACTTCGCACGAATTCTACCAATGCGGGAGCCGTGGACGGGAAGCTGTACGTCTGCGGGGGCTTCCACGGAGCAGGTACTGGTCGAGTTTTAAATGTTTTGTAACCTCCTTTGATGTCGACTTTCACCTCCCTTAACTGACCCAACGAACAATCCTAACAGCAGGGTGGGCACTGGCAAAAGCAGTGACCTTGGGCAACTCACCAACCTCTGACCTTGGGTCTTCACATCTACAAAGTGGGGCTATTCCCTCCACGGGCTGTCATAAGAATTAAGTGAGATCTGGTCTGTAATGTGTCTGGCACACAGCAGACACACAATAAACATGAGCTGAACACGACAAGAGGAGAAATGGGGGAGGGAAGGCTAATGCCAGATTGTAGGACTAAAGGAGAGATTTAAAAATATAAAGAGGGACTTCCCTGGTGGGGCAGTGATAAGACTCTGTGCTCCCAATGCAGGGGGCCCAGGTTCAATCCCTGGTCGGGGAACTAGATTCCACACGCTTGCTTCAACTGAGACTTTGCATGCCGCAACTAAGGAGCCCACACGATGCAACTAAGGAGTCCGCCTGCCACATCTAAGACCTGGGGTAACCAAAATAAAAAAGTAAGTATTTTTTTAAAAAATAAATAAAAATATGAAGAACACATGGAAGTAGGGGAATGACCAGAAACACGAGGGGTTAGCTCTGCATTTACTGATCTTTACTGAAATCCTGCCCTCGGAAAACTCTCTTACTCCTCACTACTGACACGAGAAATAAATTGCTTGAAAGCCTTTCTAAGATAATACCTAATCTACGTGTTTATTACCAAACTCAGCTTCCACATAACTAATTGCCACCATCATTGCAATCTACAGTACGGATTTATAGCTTTTTAAAGTAACAGGGAGATTTTTATTCTTTATTTTATTTTTTAAAATATTTGTTTATTTATTTATTTTGGTTGGCTGTGCCAGGTTTTGGTTGTGGCACACCAGATCTTTTAGTCAAGGCATGTGGGCTGTTGGTGGTGGGATGCAGAATCTGGTTTCCCAACCAGGTATTGAACCGGGGCTCCCTGCCCTGGGAGCACGGAGTCTTACCCACTGGACCACCAGGGAAGTCCAGGGAGATTTTTAAATATGCACAAATTTAATAAGTAACTGTCTCCAAAGTTTGATTAGTTGCATCAGTAAGTAAGGCAGAATGCAGTTACAGTAAACATGATTAACAGTTTAATTCTAACCTTCCTAATAGAAGTACTAGGCCAGGACATATCCAGGAAAAACACGCCCCAGGAGTACTTACAATTTTGGAAGCATTATGCGCAATTAAAATAGAGCTGCCCCTGCAGCAAAACCAAGCCTGCTATACACCTCCCTTCATTTTTAAAGCACGTAATTATATGTAAGTTAAAGAATGAAGTTTTCATTAGGAATTAAAAGAGACTTAGGAGATATATGAACCAAATACAATGAGTGGACCTTATCTGGCTCCTGATTCAAACAAATCTTCTGGAGAAAGATATTTTTCAGGTAATCTGGGAAATTTGAGTGTGGACTGGAGTATTAGATGATATTAAGGAATGGTTAATTTTGTTAGGTCACAATAATAATGTCATTGTAGTTTTATATGAAAGAGGAAGAAAAAGGAAAAACGTTACGAACGATGAGAGGCTGTGTGGAAGTTTTTATGGATGAAAATGATATGCTGTGTGGAACTTGTGTTAATCTACTCCAGCAAATATTTTTTAAAAAATGAATGGGTATGGGGGGCAAGAATAGATTTTACAACGTTGGTAAAATGTTGATCATTGTGAAAGCTGGATAATGGCTACAGGGGCTTTATTTACTAGATTTTTTTTTTTTCTTTCCACGCCACTCGGTTGTGGGATCTTAGTTCCCCGGGCCCTTGGCAGTGAAAGCGTGGAGCCCTAATCACTGGACTGACAGGGAATTCCCTATTTACTGGGTTTTGTATTCTTGAAAGTCCCTATGATAAGAAGCTTCAATTTTTCTTTCTCTACTTGTTCTTCAGAGAACTTTCCAAAACGTCTTTTTTAACGGTTCTAATATCTTTTATATTATACATCACATGCTTGTGTAAAGGTAGTAACCTGTCACAGTAGCAAGAAATCTGGCAGGGCAAGGAGATCTCGTAAAGACCCTTGTTGCAGCCCCGTGAGTGAGGAGGCCTTGGAGGAGACAGGAGAGCTGGACCACTGGCCGCGCCCCTCCCCCACCCCC